AGAGCACCGTGTCATCAGCAAAGAGCAACTTTTGACAAACTCCCACTTTATGTGTGATTCTTTATCTTTTAACTCCACACCTCTTGCCAAGACCCTCGCATTTACTTCTCTTACAACCCCATCTATAAATATATTAAACAACCACGGTGACATCACACATCCTTGTCTAAGGCCTACTTTTACTGGAAATAATTTCCCTCTTTCCTACATACTCTAACTTGAGCCTCACTATCCTCATAAAAACTCTTCACTGCTTTCAATAACTATCCTCCTACACCATACACCTGTAACATCTGCCACATTGCCCCCCTATCCACCCTGTCATACGCCTTTTCCAATCCATAAATTGCCACAAAGACCCTCTTTAGCCTTATCTAAATACTGTTCACTTATATGTTTCACTGTAAACACCTGGTCCACACACCCCCTACCTTTCCTAAAGCCTCCTTGTTCATCTGCTATCCTATTCTCCGTCTTACTCTTAATTCTTTCAATAATAACTCTACCATACACTTTACTAGGTATACTCAACAGACTTATCCCCCTATAATTTTTTGCACTCTCTTTTGTCCCCTTTGCCTTTATACAAAGGAACTATGCATGCTCTCTGCAAACCCTAGGTACCTTACCCCCTTCCATACATTTATTAAATAATAGCACCAACCACTCCAAAACTATATCCCCACCTGCTTTTAACATTTCTATCTTTATCCCATCAATCCCGGCTGCCTTACTCCCTTTCATTTTACCTACTGTCTCACGAACTTCCCCCACACTCACAACTGGCTCTTCCTCACTCCTACAAGATGTTATTCCTCCTTGCCCTATACACGAAATCACAGCTTCCCTATCTTCATCAACATTTAACAATTCCTCAAAATATTCCCTCATTCTTCCCAATACCTCTAACTCTCCATTTAATAACTCTCCTCTCCTATTTTTAACTGACAAATCCATTTGTTCTCTAGGCTACCTTAACTTGTTAATCTCACTCCAAAACTTTTTCTTATTTTCAACAAAATTTGTTGATAACATCTCACCCACTCTCTCTTTTGCTCTCTTTTTACATTGCTTCACCACTCTCTTAACCTCTCTCTTTTTCTCCATATACTCTTCCCTCCTTACATTACTTCTACTTTGTAAGAACTTCTCATATGCTAACTTTTTCTCCCTTACTACTCTCTTTACATTATCATTCCACCAATCGCTCCTCTTCCCTCCCGCACCCACTTTCCTGTAACCACAAACTTCTGCTGAACACTCTAACACTACATTTTTAAACCTACCCCATACCTCTTCGACCCCATTTCCTATGCTCTCATTTGCCCATCTATCCTCGAATAGCTGTTTATATCTTACCCTAACTGCCTCCTCTTTTAGTTTATAAACCTTCACCTCTCTCTTCCCTGATGCTTCTATTCTCCTTGTATCCCATCTACCTTTTACTCTCAGTGTAGCTACAACTAGAAAGTGATCTGATATATCTGTGGCCCCTCTATAAACATGTACATCCTGAAGTCTACTCAACAGTCTTTTATCTACCAATACATAATCCAACAAACTACTGTCATTTTGCCCTACATCATATCTTATACGTATATATGTACTTCTAAACTGTTGTGTTCTGGGCACCTCTGCAAAAACAGTGATTATGTGTGAGTGAGGTGAAAGTGTTGAATGATGATGAGAGTATTTTATTTTGGGGGATTTTCTTTCTTTTTGGGTCACCCTGCCTCGGTGGGAGACGTCCGACTTGTTAAAAAAAAAAAAAAAAAAAATTATGCAGTACTGTGAGTAATTTTAAGTATTAGCAGCTTTCGAAGTACATGTAAATATCTAATTTCAATAAACCGGCCATATCCCACCAAAGCAGGGTGGCCCAAGAAGAAAAATGAAAGTTTCTCTTTTTTAACTCTAGTAATGCATACAGGTGAAGGAGTTACTAGCCCCTTGCTCCCGGCATGCTAGTCACTTCCTATGACATGCATGGCTTAAGGAGATGCTTTTTATCTAGTGCCTACTGTACTAGATAAAAATATTACTACATTATTACAATTTATTGCACACTCTGGTAGTATGTAGTTTTTCAGTTTTAAGAGTGTGAAAAGGTTTGATGTGGGCCCACCGGGTGAAGGTTGATAGCTGTGGTTTGTGTGTTAATGAAGCTGTAGAATTGTGTGTAGTTAATGGTTGTACTGGAGTGCTCAAGTGTTCTTTAATATGCCTTTGGTATGTAATAAAGTTGGTAGAATTACCGACAATGTGTAAAGTAAAAGGACACAAGTGCAACTAATGTGACATTTTATTGTGGCAATGTTTCGCTCTCCAGGAGCTTTATCAAGCCATTACAAACAATACATGAACACAGAGGGTATATAAAGGCTCAGAGTGAGGTGCAATACTAGTGAGGTACCATTTCAATGTTCACTAGTGGTGGTGGTGGTAGTAGTAGTAGTAGTAGTAGTAGTAGTGACAAAAGTAATACAATATGGTAGAGCAATTAATTCGTACATGAGTAAAAGGATATAAAAGCTATTACTTGGGTAACATAAAAATAGTTTGGACAAATATAGAGTGGTAAGAGGCAGCTTGTTTCAGTGTTCACTCTCTGTAATGTGCTTTGTGTAGTATAACAGGAGAGACTATGTGATGGCAGGGTTTACTGTTTTCAGGAGGATTCTTGCTAAGACTTCGGAGATGGTGAAGCTGCCGTTGTTTTGTTTAATTGTATTCGAAACAGCGATCAGTGCTGATTCGAGGCACTTGCGTCTGCGGAAATTAGTTTCTTTGATCACTAATTGGGCGTCTCTGAATTTCATGAGATGATTGTGGAATTTCGGTGTTGTACACAGGCGTTGTTCAAGTTATCGTTCCTACATGCGTAAATGTGTTCATTGAGGCGGGTGTCGAGGTTTCTTGCTGTTTCACCTACGTAAATCTTGTCACAGCCTCCACAGGGTATAGTGTAAACTCCTGCATTGACTGGTTCGTGGTGCTTGGATTTTGTCCTGGTTAGATCCTTTATTGAAGTGCTAGAAGCGATGGCGACTCTGGTGTTAGCTTGTGAAAGAACTTTTGAGACGTTCAGTGCAACCTGGCTGTTGGGAAGAATTATAACTTTGTTGGGAGTGGTGTTGATGCGTAGGTGAAACAGCAAGAAACCTCGACACCCGCCTCAATGAACACATTTACGCATGTAGGAACGATAACTTGAACAACGCCTGTGTACAACACCGAAATTCCACCAATCATCTCATGAAATTCAGAGACGCCCAATTAGTGATCAAAGAAACTAATTTCCGCAGACGCAAGTGCCTCGAATCAGCACTGATCGCTGTTTCGAATACAATTAAACAAAACAACGGCAGCTTCACCATCTCCGAAGTCTTAGCAAGAATCCTCCTGAAAACAGTAAACCCTGCCATCACATAGTCTCTCCTGTTATACTACACAAAGCACATTACAGAGAGTGAACACTGAAACAAGCTGCCTCTTACCACTCTATATTTGGCTGCTGCTGCTGCTGCTGCTGCTGCTGCTGCTGCTGCTGCTGCTGCTGCTGCTGCTGCTGCTGCTGCTGCTGCTGCTGCTGCTGCTGCTGCTGCTGCTGCTGCTGCTGCAGCTGCTGCTGCTGCTGCTGCTGCTGCTGCTGCTGCTGCTGCTTGCTCTGCTGCTGCTGCTGCTGCTGCTGCTGCTGCTGCTGCTGGCTGCTGCTGCTGCTGCTGCTGCTGCTGCTGCTGCTGCTGCTGCTGCTGCTGCTGCTGCTGCTGCTGCTGCTGCTGCTGCTGCTGCTGCTGCTGCTGCTGCTGCTGCTGCTGCTGCTGCTGCTGCTGCTGCTGCTGCTGCTGCTGCTGCTAGCTGCTGCTGCTCGCTGCTGCTGCTGCTGCTGCTGCTGCTGCTGCTGCTGCGCTGCTGCTGCTGCTGCTTGCTGCTGCTTGCTGCTGCGCTGCTGCTGCTGCTGCTGCTGCTGCTGCTGCTGCTGCTGCTGCTGCTGCTGCTGCTGCTGCTGCTGCTGCTGCTGCTGCAGCTGCTGCTGCTGCTGCTGCTGCTGCTGCGCTGCTGCTGCTGCTGCTGCTGCTGCTGCTGTGCTGCTGCTGCTGCTGCTGCTGCTGCCTGCTGCTGCTGCTGCTGCTGCTGCTGCTGCTGCTGCTGCTGCGCTGCTGCTTGGGTGCTGCTGCTGCTGCTGCTGCTGCTGCTGCGCTGCTGCTTGCTGCTGCCTGCTGCTGCTGCTGGCTGCTGCTGCTGCTGCTGCTGCTGCTGCTGCTGCTGCTGCTGCTGAACATCGAAATGTTACATCACTCTGAGCCTTTATATACCCTCTGTGTCCATGTATTGTTTGTAATGGCTTGATAAAGCTCCTGGAGAGCAAAACGTTGCCACAATAAAATGTCTCATTAGTTGCACTTGTGTCCTTTTACTTTACATGCCTTTGGTATGTTGTACCCCAAGTACCTTTAGAACTTTTGAGCGTGATTCATTAATTCACTTGATTCACTAATTTTCTGTTTCACTTCCTGCCCATTTCCCCTTTTTTTTTTCTCTCTCATTTAGTCTCTGGAAGTATTATATGTATGTATATTCTGTGTTTATCTACCAAACCCTGTGGAAACCCACCAAATTGTTTAGTGAAGCATTGTAAATAAGCTACTACCTTCTTAGATGTGTGTGTGTGCAAAGGTGTTGATGCCAGAATGGAGAAATACATTACAGTTTCTTGGACTTTTCATTCTTATAGTTTAGTAAGGTTAGCTTAGGATATTGATAGAATGGTTTTATCACATTCTGAGTGTCTTATGAGGTATATACTTGAAATGTTGCCAGAGAGGAATTATAAACATACAGGTAAGGAAATAGCTGCTGAATATTTGAGGAATTTACTATGCTGCACCACTTGGTAAATTCTGAAATGGATTGAAGCATTAAAAATCCCAAAACTTGCATATTAACCTTTAAGATATTCCAGTGCTATTTTCATAATTAATACAAATGTCTTGTGACAGGAGTGGAATTATGAAATACTGGAAGGGGCTGGTCTACCTCGTGACTTTCTGCCAAAAGTAGTGGATTCTGGTGAGGATGCAGGAACACTGGCCAATGCTTGGTATAGTATCCCTGCTGGCACACCAGTCATTGCTTCTCTTGGTAAGCTGGTTTGTAGCACTTCTTTATAATAATTGTCAACAAAAGGTTCCAAAATTTATAACCTTAAAACACAGTACAGTATAAATAAACCTGTTCCACTTCATTGAGTTAAAAATAAGAGTTAAATGCAATAGAGCTAAATGTAAGAGTAGCTGGGTATAAAAGTGCTGGGTACGTATCAGACGCGTCTGCCTGGGCTGCTCATACGTTCGTGACTTACTCTTGGGCACATTAAATGTCTATATTAATGTATAATAAGACATTTCCATTAATCCATCTATGATATTTTCTTCAAAATTATATAAGAAACATGTTACATAGCATATGAACATGCCTTTGTTACTCATTCACTAAGACAGTTCCTCTAGTCTTAATGCCATAGTAGTAATACTAATATGTGACAACAGGAGAGTGCAACTTCCCCTCCTGTAATTTATTTCATGAAAGAAAATGCTACAATGCATACTGCCAGGCACATCATCTAAGGGGACTAGAAGACACAGACTAGCCAGACTATGGGAAACAAAAGAGGGGAGCCACAACCTCTCCAGGGACAGAGGTTTTTTAGGGCCAGGAGGGAAAAAAGACTGGCAAGATATGACAGTAATCATACACCAACTGAAAACACTTCTGGAGCAGAGGCACGGACATTGGCCTCTACTCCAGAACAACAGATATTAGAGTCAGCAAATAAAACCCCCTAAATTCCACCAATACAACGACATTTGTCTTTGCAAACATACAGAGTCTAAAGCCATCAAAAAACAAAAAAATTCCTTACATCAAGGGACTGCTCACGGAGTCAAATCCAATGTTTGCAGCATTCACAGAGACCTACATAAAGGATCATTATGACAACGAAATATGGATCCCAGGTTATAACCTATTCCGATGCGACAGACTAAACAGGCAACAAGGGGGGGGTTGGCCTGTATGTCACAGAGTTGCTCATTTGCACAGAATCACTAAACACCTCCAGGAGGGAAAAAAGACTGGCAAGATATGATAATAATCTTACACCAACTGAAAACGCTTCTGGAGCAGAGGCACGGACATTGGCCTCTACTCCAGAACAACAGATATTAGAGCCAGCAAATAAAACCCCCCTAAATTCCACCAATACAACGACATTTGTCTTTGCAAAAATACAGAATCTAAAGCTGTCCAAAAACAACAAAATTCCTTATGTCAAGGGACTGCTCACGGAGTCAAATCCAATGTTTGCAGCATTCACAGAGACCTACATAAAGGATCATTTTGACAATGAAGTATGGATCCCAGATTATAACCTATTCTGATGCGACAGACTAAACAGGCAACAAGGGGGAAGGGGGGGTTGGTCTGTATGTCACAGAGTTGCTCATTTGCACAGAACCACTAAACACCTCAAATGATGTAGTTGAAGTTTTGGCGGTAAAGATTGAAAACCAAAACCTTGTCATTGTGGTAGTATACAAGTCTCCAGATGCAACTTCCCAGCAATTCCAGGAGCAGCTTGAGAAAATTGACCACTGTCTGGAAAATCTTCCAACTCATGCCCCAAACATCTTACTATTAGGAGATTTCAACTTGAGACACCTAAAAGGGAGGAGTATAGCAATGTTTTAGCAGAGATCACCCTGGGAGGCAGCTCAGATGAAAATTCACATACACACAAACTATTAAATCTCTGCACCAAATTTACCTTAAGCCAGCAAATAGTAGAGCCTACAAGACTAGAAAATACGCTGGACCTCATCATTAACAATGACGATATGATATGTAATATAACTGTATCAAACACAATACATGCAGATCACAACGTAATAGAGGTACAGACATGTATACACAGGGCTCCTGACCAGCAAAATGTGAGCAGCCATGAAAGTCTCTTCACAAAATTCAATTTCAATAACAAAAACATACAATGGGATTAAGTAAACCATGTCCTAAATGAAACAAGCTGGGAAGATATCCTAAACAACACAGATCCAAACATTTGCCTTGAAAAGTTAATTCTGTGGTGCTTGAGATCTGCTCAAGACACTTTCCATTAAGAAAAAAAAAGAGAAGATGTAAACTAGAAAGACAGAGATGCTCCCTATACAGATGAAGGTGAAGAGTCAGAGCTGCTGAGTGGGGCCAATATATTTGAAATGTGAAGGGAGGCACTAGTCAGTGAAATTGCAAATATTAACCCTAGGCTGAAGGAATCTTGCAGGAGACAAGAATCACAGGAAGAACTAAAAGCCATAAAGGAAATTGAAAACAAAAAACAAAATATTTCTTCTCTTATGCCAAATCTAAGGGAAAAAACAACATCCAGTATTGGGCCCCAGCTTAGGCAGGATGGGACATACACAGATGACAGCCAAGAAATGAGTGAGATACTAAAGTCCTAATATGAGTCAGTGTTCAGCGAGCCACTGCCCAGACTAAGGGTCGACAATCCAAATGAATTCTTCATGAACGAAACCCAAAATTTGGTCATCTCAAAAATCTCGGATATTATTCTAAGTAAGTAGTAGGTTGGTAGACAGCAACCGCCCAGGGAGGTACTACCGTCCTGCCAAGTGAGTGTAAAATGGAAGCCTGTAATTGTTTTACATGATGGTAGGATTGCTGGTGTCTTTTTTCTGTCTCATAAACATGCAAGATTTCAGGTACATCTTGCTACTTCTACTTACACTTAGGGCACACTACACATACATGTACAAGCATATATATACATACCCCTCTGAGTTTTCTTCTATTTTCTTTCTAGTTCTTGTTCTTGTTTATTTCCTCTTATCTCCATGGGGAAGTGGAACAGAATTCTTCCTCCGTAAGCCATGCGTGTTGTAAGAGGCGACTAAAATGCCGGGAGCAGGGGGCTAGTAACCCCTTCTCCTGTATAAATTACTAAATTTAAAAAGAGAAACTTTCGTTTTTCTTTTTGGGCCACCCTGCCTCGGTGGGATACGGCTGGTTTGTTGAAAGAAGATTATTCTAACTCCACAAGACTTTGAAGAGGCAATAAATGATATGCCCATGCACTGCCCCAGGCCCAGACTCATTGAACTTTGTGTTCATCAAGAATTGCAAGAAGCCCCTATTGCGTGCCTTCAGCATTTTATGGAGAGGGAGCATGGACACAGGGGTCATCCCCCACACACTAGAAACAACAGACATAGCCCCACTCCACAAAGGTGGCAGTAAAGCAATTGCAGAGAACTACAGACTGATAGCACTAACTTCCCATATCACAAAAATCTTTGAGAGGGTTCTAAGAAGCAAGATTGCCAACCACCTAGATACCCATTAGTTACACAACCCAGGGCAACACGGGTTTAGAGCAGGTCGCTCCTGCCTGTCCCAGCTACTGGACCACTATGACAAGGTCCTGGATGCTGTAGAGGATAAAATACAGATGTAGTATACACAGACTTTTGCAAAAGCTTTTGACAAGTGTGACCATGGTGTAATAGCACACAAAATACATCATAAAGGAATAACAGGAAAAGTTGGTAGATGGATCTATAACTTCCTGACAAATAGAACACAAAGAGTAATAGTAAACAGAGTAAAGTTCTAGTCAGCCATGGTAAAAAGCTCTCTTCCACAAGGCACAGTACTCGCTCCCATTCTATTCCTTATCCTCATTTCTGGCACGGAGAGAGATGTAAGCCATAGCTCTGTGTCTTCCTTTGCATATGACACCTGGATTAGCATGGCAGTGACCTCCATCGAAGACACCGTGAGACTCCAAGCGGACATCAACCAAATCTTCGAATGGGCCACTCAAAACAATATGAAGTTCAACGAGGAGAAATTTCAACTACTCAGATATGGGAAACTTGAAGAAATTAAAAATGTGTCAGGGTATATGGCAAACTCTAACCATACAATAGAGCAGAAAAGTAATGTGAAGGACCTGGGAATGATAATGTCAGAGGAGCTCGTCTTCAGAAACTACCACAATGTATCTACCTCATCCACTAGGAAAATGATAGGATGGATAATGTGACCCTTCAAAACTAGGGACGCCAGGCCCATAATGATTCTCTTCAAATCGCTTGTGCTCTCTAGGCTGGAATACTGCTGTACACTAATGGACTCCTTCAAGGCTGGCGACATTGCAGACCTGGAGAGTGTACAAAGAACTTTAACGGCACACATAAGTACGATAAAGCATCTAAATTACTGGGAATGGTTGAAGGTCCTTGACCAGTATTCCCTCAAATGCAGGTGAGAGAGATATGTGATAATATACACTTGGAAGGCCCTGGAGGGATTAGCATCAAACCTGCACACGAAAATCACTCCCCATGAAAGCAAAAGGCTCGGCAGGAGATTCAACATTCCCCCGATGAAAAGCAGGGGCACCACGAGGACATTGAGAGACAACACAATAAGTGTCTGGGGCCCAAGACTGTTCAATTGCCTCCCAGCATACATAAGGGGGATTACCAATAGACCTCTGGCTGTCTTCAAAAAGGCACTGGAAAGGCACATAAAGTCAGTACCTGACCAGCCGGGCTGTGGTTCATACGTCAGCTTGCGTGCGGCCAGCAGTAACAGCCTGAGTGATCAGACCCTGATCCACCATGAGGCCTGGTCTCAGACCGGGCCATGGGGGCATTGACCTCTGAAACCCTCTCCAGGTAAACTCCAGGTATACATACATAATAATAATCACACTTGGGCACATTAAATGTCTAATTTTACATTAATGTAGACATTTTTATTAATCCATCTATGATATTTTCTTCAAAATTATATAAGAAACATGTTACATGGCATATAAACATGCAACGTTTATATGCTATTTTTTTTTTTTCAACAAGTCAGCTGTCTCCCACCGAGGCAAGGTGACCCAAAAAGAAAGAAAATCCCCAAAAAGAAAATACTTTCATCATTCAACATTTTCACCTCACTCATACATAATCACTGTCTTTGCAGAGGCGCCCAGACAATAGTTTAGAAGTACGTACAGTGGACCCCCGGTTTACGATATTATTTCATTCCAGAAGTATGTTCAGGTGCCAGTACTGAACGAATTTGTTCCCGTAAGGAATATTGTGAATTAGATTAGTCCATTTCACACCCCCAAACATACACGTACAAACACACTTACATAAATACACTTACATAATTGGTCGCATTGGGAGGTGATCGTAAAGCGGGGGTCCACTGTATATGTAAAGATACATAACATATCCCTCCATACTGTCAATATCCCAAACCCGTCCTTTAAAGTGCAGGCATTGTACTTCCCATTTCCATTACTTTAGTCTGGCTATATAAAAATAACCGGTTTTCCTGAATCCCTTCACTAATTATTACCCTGCTCACACTCCAACAGCTCGTCAGGTTCCAAAAACCATTCGTCTCCATTCATTCCTATCTAACAAGCTAATGTACACTTGCTGGAAATCCAAGCCCCTCGCCCACAAAACCTCCTTTACCCTCTCCCTCCAACCATTTTGGGGATGGCCAACTAACCTTTGCAACCTTTCTTTAAAGTCTCCCATAAGCACAGTATCATCAGCAAAAAGCAACTGTGTCAACTCCCATTTTGTATCTGATTCCCCATAATTTAATCCCACCCTTCTCCCCAACACCCTAGCATTTACTTCTTTTACAACCCCATCTATAAATATATTAAACAACCATGGTGACATTACACAACCCTGTCTAAGACCTACTTTTACCAGTAAATCTTCCTCTGCTCTACACACCCTAATCTGAGCCTCACTATCCTCATAAAAACTCTTTACCGCATTTAGTAACTTACTACCTATTCCATATACAGTGGACCCCCGCATACCGGACGCCTTGCATAACGGACAATCCGCATACCGGACGCTTTGATCGCTAAAATTTTGCCCCGCATACCGCCCAAAAACCCGCTCAGCGCCCTTCGTCCAAGACGCGTCCAATGTGCGGCCTGAGCCAGCCTCATATGTTCCGCTGGTGGCATTGTTTACCAGCCAGCCTCCGCGGTAACATTCAAGCATACAATCGGAATATTTCGTATTATTACAGTGTTTTCGGTGCTGTTTCTGGAAAATAAGTGACCATGGGCCCCAAGAAAGCTTCTAGTTCCAACCCTACAGCAATAAGGGTTAGAATTCCTATAGAAATGAAGAAAGAGATCATTGATAAGTATGAAAGTGGAGTGCGTATCACCGACCTGGTCAGGTTGTACAAGAAACCCAAATCAACCATCTCAAACTATTGTGGGCAACAGAAAGGCAATCAAGGAAGCTGTTCTTGCCAAAGGTTTAACTGTGTTTTCGAAACAAAGATCGCAAGTGATGGAAGATGTTGAGAGACTCTTATTGGTGTGGATAAATGAAAAACAGCTAGCAGGAGATAGCGTCTCTCAAGCGATCATATGTGAAAAGGCTAGGAAGTTGCATGAGGATTTAATTAAAAAAAGGCCTGCAACTAGTGATGATGTGAGTGAATTTAAGGCCAGCAAAGGTTGGTTTGAGAGATTTAAGAAGCGTAGTGGCATACATAGTGTGATACGGCATGGTGAGGCTGCCAGTTCGGACCACAAAGCGGCTGAAAAATATGTGCAGGAATTCAAGGAGTACATAGAAACTGAAGGACTGAAACCTGAACAAGTGTTTAATTGTGATGAAACAGGCCTGTTCTGGAAGAAAATGCCAAGCAGGACCTACATTACTCAGGAGGAAAAGGCACTCCCAGGACATAAGCCTATGAAAGACAGGCTTACTTTGTTGATGTGTGCCAATGCTACTGGTGATTGCAAAGTTAAGCTTATTAGTGTATCACTCTGAAACTCCCAGAGCGTTCAGGCAAAAGAATGTCCTCAAGTATAATTTGTGTGTGTTGTGGAGATCAAACAGTAAGGCATGGGTCACTAGGGACTTTTTCTGTAACTGGTTACACCATGCATTTGCCCCAATGTCAAAGAATTACCTAACTGAAAAGAAATTAGAACTTAAGTGCCTCCTGTGTTAGACAATGCCCCTGGTCATCCTACAGACATGGCAGAGCGACTTTATGGGGACATGAGCTTCATTAAGGTGAATTTTTTTGCCTCCTAATACCACTCCTCTCCTGCAGCCCATGGACCAGCAGGTCATTTCCAACTTCAAGAAACTGTACACAAAAGCTATGTTTCAAAAGTGCTTTGAAGTGACCACAGACACTCGATTGACTCTAAAAGAGTTTGGAAGGATCACTTTAATATCCTCAATTGTGTAAACCTTATAGGTAAGGCTTGGGAGGGAGTGACTAAGAGAACCTTGAACTCTGCTTGGAAGAAACTGTGGCCAGAATGTGTAGACAGAAGGGATTTTGAAGGGTTTGAGGCTAACCCTGAGAGGAGTATACCAGTTGAGGAATCAATTGTGGCATTGGGGAAGTCCTTGGGGTTGGAGGTTAGTGGGGAGGATGTGGAAGAGTTGGTGGAGGAGGACAATGAAGAACTAACCACTGATGAGCTGATAGATCAACTTCAAGAGCAAGAGGCCAGACCTGGGGAAACTGGGTTTAAAGGAGGGAGAGAGAAATTGAAGGAATTACCTACTTCAAAGATTAAGGAAATGTGTGCAAAATGGCTTGAAGTGCAAACCTTTTTTGATGAAAATCACCCTCACACAGCTATTGCAAGCCGTGCTGGTGACTGTTACAATGCAATGTTGTGAACCACTTTAGACAAATCATAAAGGAACGAGAGGTACAGGCCACTATGGACAGATATGTTGTGCGAAAGAAGTCCAGTGACTCTGAAGCTGGTCCTAGTGGCATTAAAAGAAGAAGGGAAGTAACCCCAGAAAAGGACTTGCCACCTCAAGTCTTAATGGAAGGGGATTCCCCTTCTAAACACTAACACTCTCTCTCCCCTCCTCCCATCCCATCAATCATCACCAGATCTTCAATAAAAGTAAGTGTCATGTAATTGTGCATGCCTTTTTCAGTTTGTGTGTACTAAAATTAACATTTTTTTGTGGTAAAAAAAATTTTTTTTTCATACTTTTGGGTGTCTTGCACGGATTAATTTTATTTCCATTATTTCTTATGGGGAAAATTCATTCACATACCGAACATTTCGCATAACAGCCAGCCCTCTTGCACGGATTAAGGTCGCTATGCGGGGGTCCACTGTACTTGCAAAATCTGCCACATTGCTCCACTATCCACTCTATCATATGCCTTTTCTAAATCCATAAATGCAATGAAAACTTCCCTACCTTTATCTAAATACTGTTCACATATATGCTTCAATGTAAACACTTGATCTACACATCCCCTACCCACTCTAAAGCGTCCTTGCTCATCCGCAATCCTACTCTCTGCCTTACCTCCAATTCTTTCAGTAATAACCCTACCGTACACTTTTCCTGGTATACTCAATAAACTTTGTTTTCAACAAACCGGCTGGATTCCACCGAGGCAGAACTCAGCATAAACTTAGTCCCCTATAATTTTTACAGTCTCTTTTGTCCCCCTTCCCTTTATATAAAGGAACTATACGTGCTCTCTGCCAATCCCTGGGTACCTTCCCCTCTTTCATACATTTATTAAACAAAAATACCAACCACTCCTACGCTATATCCCCCCTGCTTTGAACATTTCTGTCATAATCACATCAGTTTCAGCTGCTTTATCCCCTCTCATTCTACATAATGCCTCATGCACCTCCCCCACACTCACATCCTGCTCTTCTTCACTCCTAAAAGATGTTATACCTCCCTGGCCAGTGCATGAAATTACCTCCCTTTCTTCATCGACATTTAAAAGTTCCTCAAAATATTCCCGCCATCTATCCAATACCTCCAGCTCCCCATCTACTAACTCCCCTACTCTGTTTTTAACTGACAAATCCATTCATTCTCTAGGCTTTGTTGTTTATCTCATTCCAATATTTTTTCTTACTTTCATCAAAATTTCTTGACAGTGCCTCTCCCACTCTATCATCTGCTCTCCTTTTGCACTCTCTCACCACTCTCTTCACCTTTCTTTTACTCTCCATATACTTTGCTCTGATAACACTTATGCTTCGCAAAAATCTCTCATAAGCAACCATTTTCTTTTTTATCACACCCTTTACTTCATCATTCCACCAATCACTCCTCTTTCCTCCTGCACTCACAAACTTCTGCCCCACAGTCTAATACATACTGCATTTTTTAAACTATTCCAATCCTCTTTAACCCCCCTACTACTCATACTTGCACTAGCCCATCTTTCTGACAATAGTTGATTATATCTCACCCTATTATTTATTTTTTTTTTATTATCACACTGGCCGATTCCCACCAAGGCAGGGTGGCCCGAAAAAGAAAAACTTTCACCATCATTTACTCCATCACTGTTTTGCCAGAAGGGTGCTTTACACTACAGTTTTTAAACTGCAACATTAACACCCCTCCTTCAGAGTGCAGGCACTGTACTTCCCACCTCCAGGACTCAAGTCCGGCCTGCCGGTTCCCTGAACCCCTTCATAAATGTTACCTTGTTCACACTCCAACAGCACGTCAAGTATTAAAAACCATTCGTCTCCATTCACTCCTATCAAACACGCTCACGCACACCTGCTGGAAGTCCAAGCCCCTCGCACACAAAACCTCCTTTACCCCCTCCCTCCAACCTTTCCTAGGTTGACCCCTTCCCCGCCTTCCTTCCACTACAGACTGATACACTCTTGAAGTCATTCTGTTTCGCTCCATTCTCTCTACATGTCCGAACCACCTCAACGATACGCATATGTCGCCAAGACCGATAACTTCGCGGGAGCGTAATTCCATGAGTTTTCGACCAAATTTCGAACTTTTTGGTGTCATTACCATCGGGAAAAGATTCTCTATCATTTCATAAGAAAAAATAATTTTGTTTTTTTTTCAGAAATTTAGCGACATAGAATGACAGTTTCAGAAAGGGGCCTGAAAAAGTCAAAGGGTTAAAGCTCATGCCACCTTCTGTACTGTTCATATGGAATAAAAATGTTTTCTCTCTACTCAAGATAGTGATGTAATTTTTCAACAGGCGACCTTCAATGCTCAGTTCTACCATTGCTCTCCAAGAACAGTGATGCTGTGATCAACATATCTACCTCAGCTCAGTTATGCTTCAAAATGCCTAAAGTAAGAATTTATTGCATGCAAATTAACCTTTACAATGATTGATATGCCTAAAGTAAGGATTGAATTAATAGCATCAAGACTCAACTTTGCTTCATTTTTATTTTCATTTTATCTGTTGGAGTGTGAGCAGGGTAATATTTAGTGAAGGGATTCAGGGAAACCGGTTATTTTCATATAGTCGGACTTGAGTCCTGGAAATGGGAAGTACAATGCCTGCACTTTAAAGGAGGGGTTTGGGATATTGGCAGTTTGGAGGGATATGTTGTGTATCTTTATACGTATATGCTTCTAAACTGTTGTATTCTGAGCACCTCTGCAAAAGCAGTGATAATGTGTGAGTGTGGTGAAAGTGTTGAATGATGATGAAAGTATTTTCTTTTTGGGGATTTTCTTTCTTTTTTGGGTCACCCTGCCTCGGTGGGAGACGACCGACTTGTTGAAAAAAAAAAAAAAAATTAATATTTGTGATACCTAAGTTTAGCTTTTGGTAGCAATACCTCAAACAAGAATTTTATTTGTGATTTATCTATATAAATGATCTGTATATGTTTTGGAAATATGTAACATTAGCTGTGTTTTATACTTGAGATATTGAATATATTAATTAATTACTCTTCCCTAAAATATTCCCATGGTTATGATGTTTTAGGATAAATTTTATTTCAAGTTTTTTGTTAAAAACAACTGAAAATGACCTTTGGTTATTTAATTTTCTGGTCTTGTTATGTTTCTCTCTGTCTCTGTCTCTGTGTCTCTCTCTTTCTCTCTCTCTGTCTTTTTTTTACACAGGATTCGACAAGGTTAGATTAAGGATCCCTAGCTTATTGAGAAGCTATTTACAGGTTAAGGATTCCTAACTTTATTGGCAAGCTAAGAGCTGTTACCTACTTCAGCTCATTTGAAAGCATTGTTATTGTTATGAAACATACAAGTAGGGAACAGGATGAAGTTGTAGCCACCTGTGAGCCAGCATTTTCGTTTGATTAACTGACTATCTCGTTGACATCATAATGCTGTACGAGTGTATTCCATATTCGAGTCATCCTGAGGATAAATGATCTCAGATGAAGTGATGTTCTGGAGAAGGGTACAGCCAGAGTGAAATTGCTGCTTTCTGCCCATCTTGTGGTATAGAAGCTTGCTTCACGCTGTCCTCAAAGTGGATCCAAGTGTGGTACTTTGACAACATTGGCCTTGTACATAACAGTAAGGCCACCCACATCCCTCTTGTGTTGAAGGCTCTGTCTCTGTCTCTCTCTGTCTCTGTCTCTCTCTGTCTCTGTCTCTCTCTCTCTCTGTCTCTCTCTCTCTCTGTCTCTGTCTCTCTCTGTCTCTGTCTCCTCTGTCCCCTGTCTCTCTCTGTCTCTGTCTCTCTCTGTCTCTGTCTCTCTCTGTCTCTGTCCCCTCTCCTGTCTCGTCTCTCTCTCTGTCTCTGTCTCTCTCTGTCTCTGTCTCTCTCCTCTCTGTCTCTCTCTGTCTCTGTCTCTCTCTGTCTCTCTGTCTCTCTCTGTCTCTGTCTCTCTCTGTCTCTGTCCTCTGTCTCTGTCTCTCTCTCTGTCTCGTCTCTCTGCTGTCTCTGTCTCTCTCTTCTCTGTCTCTCGTCTGTCTCTGTCTCTCTCTGTCTGTCCTCTCTGCTCTGTCTGTTCTCTGTCTCTCTCTGTCTCTCTCTCTCTCTGTCTCTCTCCTGTCTCTCTCTGTCTCTCTCTGTCTCTCTGTCTCTCTCTGTCCTCTCTGTCTCTCTGTCTCTCTCTGTCTCTCTCTGTCTCTCGTCTGTCTCTCCTCTGTCTCTCGTCTCTGTCTCTCTCTGTGTCTCTCTGTCTCTCTCTGTTCTCTCTGTCTCTCTGTCTCTCTGTCTCTCTCTGTCTCCTTCTCTGTCTCTCTGTCTCCTGTCTCTCTCTGTCTCTCTCTGTCTCTCTCTGTCTCTCTCTCTGTCTCTCTGTCTCTCTGTCTCTCTGTCCTCTCTGTCTCTCTGTCTCTCTGTCTCTCTGTCTCTCTGTCTCTCGTCTCTCTGTCCTCTCTGTCCTCTCTGTCTTCTGTCTCTCTCCTCTCTCTCTGTCTCTCTCTCTCTCGTTTCTCTCTGTCTCCTCTCTCGTCTCTCTCTCTCCCTCTCTCTCGTCTCTCTCTCTCTTCTCTCTCTCTCTCTCCTCTCTCTCTTTCTTCTCTTTTCTTTCTTTCATTCTTTTTCTTTTTTGAAACAACCAGAGTACTTTTAACATATCTAATTCCTTCATAATTCATATATCTTAGTTTCACACTACTTCTGCTACTGCCATTTTAATTTTGCTTTAAGGTTTTAAGCATTTTACAATTCATAAATCTGAAGGTTACTTTTTATTTTACAGTTACCTAATGCTCTTTGTTAAGGAAGGAATGACAGTGGATATATCAAGTGTTTGGTTCACTTGTAACCGTGGTCTCTTTGGCTTTAAGAATGACAGGTATACTCTCCAGGTATAGATAGTGGTTCACTGGTAACCATGGTCTCTTAACCCTTTCAGGGTTTCGGCCATACTAGTATGGCTTACGCGTCAGTGTCCATGACGTACTAGTACTCTTAAATTCTAGAGCCTTCAAATCTAGTGAGAGAAAGCTGGTAGGCCTACATATGAAAGAATGGGTCTATGTGGTCAGTGTGCGCAGTATAAAAAAAAATCCTGCAGCCCACAGTGCGTAATGAGAAAAAAAAAACTTTGACCGTGTTTTTGGATTAAAACAGCGACTTTGCACTATATTTTCATATGGTATTTATTGTTGTATTCTAGTTTTCCTGGTCTCATTGTATAGAATGGAAGATATATTACAGAAATTGAGATGATTTTGACTGGTTTTACAATGAAAAGTACCTTGAAATTGAGCTCAAAGTAGCAGAAATGTTCGATTTTTACCAAAGGTCAAAAGTAAACAAATCATGCTAAGCGTTCAATACATGTCAACTGGTGAGTCTGATGTTCTTTCACAAGTGCGCCGATATTATTTATAGCATTTCTAAACTAATGCAGTAGTCTGCATAACAGTAAATCTTATTTTTTTGTGAGAATAAAAATTCAAAGTGGAAAGCAAAAGAAATGTAAGAGGGGCCTGGGGACATGACTAATGAACAGAGGAAATGTTATTTTAGTGCCAGGAATGTCTTTCTTGTTTATTCTGGACTCTGTTTGGAAATTGGCATCTTTTGAAATTTGTGTGAAATTGGCAAAATTGCTAAATTCTGACCACTGTATTGGATAGTTGAAATCGGTAAATTGGTGGTTTCTTGTACTCATTCGATAGAAAAAATGGAATTCTAGCGAAATAGTTATGATTTTTGTCAACTAGTACATTGGAATTGGCCGAAAATAGGGCTCAAAGTGGGCAAAATCGCCGATGCGTAAACGTCATCGAGACCGCTAACTTCATGAGAGCATAATTCCGTAAGTTTTCCATCAAATTTCATACTTTTGGTGTCATTATCATCGAGAAAAGATTCTCTATCTTTTCATAAGAAAAATAATTTATTTTTTTTGAAATTTGGGGGACCCTGAGAACAGTTACATTGAGGGCGTTCTTCCTACTTCCTGGACCAATAGTCTCATTGTGCCTATCCCTAAGCCCCAACAGCCTGATACATTTAGGCCGATCTCCTTAACTAGTTGTCTTTGTAAAACTTTTGAAAGAATGATGCTTAACAGACTGTACTACAGAATCAGACATCAACTTTCCCCCTACCTCTATGGGTTCATGAAAGGTAAAAGTGTGCAGAACTGTATTTCCACCTTTCTCACTGCACACACCTCTACTAGTTTTACCACTTTTCTTGATCTAAAATCTGCATTTGATATTCGAACAGAACCATTATCTACTGAACTAGCCAAAATGAATATTGGTGGTAGCTTACTCTGTGGATAATAGGATCCCGTCAAATAGGTATCCTCTGTCTTTTACCAAGGCTTCAGAAGTGATTCTAAAGAAATGTCTTTAGGTACACCGCAGGGAGGAGTTCTTAGTCCCATGCTATTTAATATTCTGATTAATGCTCTCCTAAATGCTCTACCGCCTCCCCTAAACTTTATAGCTAAAGCAATGCTGATGATATCAGATCCATACAACGGGGCATAAAAAGATGAATACCATTCTTAATGAAGTTAAAAGCAATTTGTAATCGACTAGGCCTCATAATACTTCCTCTAAAACTAAGATATTAACAAGCCAAACGACATCCCCACCCATCTATTTGCAGGGTGAATCATTAGCTACGTTAAAACTTACAGATATCTTGGTGTAGATGTACCCTTTAACAAATCCACTAACCACAACTAAACAAAATGTAAAGCTAGGTTTAAATGCTCTCAAAGCTGTTGCTGGCTACAATCCCAAACTATGGTGCTAATGTGAGAATCGTGAGAATGATGTACATAGCCTATGTTAGGTCCTTAATTGAATTGTCCCTCCCATGTTGATATTAGCTAGAGAAAGTTCTCTCCGACCCTTGGAGTTAATGAAAAATGAAGCTCTCAGGATTATTCTTGGCTGTCCCAGATCTTGCAAAAGTTCTTAACATGAGGAAGGAGCTTGGTATTTCTAGTACAGTGATAGGATTTTGAAATTAACACTGTACTCGGTTTAGAATTTTGAGAAACGAAACCAGCCCACTGTCACAGTGAATCTTACCAAGTGTCTAGAGGTAAATACACACAGATCTAAATGGATTGTGAAAAGTGCAATTGCATTAAGTTTTATACCTGCATGAACTGTATCACTGTAGGCAACAAGAGCATTTCACCCCTCCATGGAAGATGTGTTCATTTAATATCACATACCTACAAGTCCCTCCCAAGAAGTCATTGCTAGTAATCCCTTCCTTAAATCTCTTGTTAGAGCAACTGCTCAAGAAGAAATTTTCGCCCTAGCTGGTAGTAATAAGTTATCACAAGTTATATACACTGAGATCTAAACAGGAGTCTTCTGGCAGGGCTGCATCTGCTCTTGTTGCCCCCTCCCTATTAAGAACGATATAAATTTGTTGAGTTGGGGCATAAGAATTAACAACTGGGCGTCTACACTGCAAACTGAATTGTTTGCAATCCTAAGGCGCTAAAGCTAACTATGACCCCTGAGCTTGACTCTATCATCATTACTGATTCTATGTAAATCATTGAAGGCTCTTGGCTCATAATGACTCCAACAACATGCTCATTGGGAAGCCAGGTATAGATACTCAAAAATTAGGGACAAAGGAATTAATGTACAATTGTAGGATCCATCACACATTGGATTACTCCTTCATGATAAAGTTGATATGTTACCCAAAGAAGAGTATCGGAAGGAGAATGTAGATAAAAACTTTGGTATAACTGTGTCTAGCATTAGGAATAATATTAGGAGAGAAGTAAATAAATGAAAATGATTGTTATAGGAATGCGTTAGAAGCCTGAGTAGATCTATAACCCACTATGAATACATGAACGTAGATAAGTATGTTTATGGAGCAACTTGCAATGTGAACAGATGACTGATGTTGTAGGGGCCCAGGCTTAGGCTTGGGGTTACAAGTACTTCTGGCAGTTTGGGAGACACCCAGATGATGATAAAACAAAATAAAAATTTATGTGTTCAGGCATATGGTCACTCTCTTGAACACTATGTGCTTAATTGTCCACTTATTGGGGAATAACAGAGCAGCAGTATAATAACCTATGTGACATGTCAAGATATCTTATTAATGAAAATAAGATACCAGATATACTAAGCAAATTTCCTAAATTTGCTTGTAACAGATAAGTGAACTATAGATATGTAGATATAAATCCATATGTATTCCTGTTAACCCTTTGGGGCCTAGTTCCTAGGCCTTTTGTGTATCCATATGCTCTCGCGCTACCGTCCACAGGATGGATATGGGGTGCACAATAAACTAGCCACTTCGGTGGCAAAATCTAAAAAAAAAAAAAATGAGAACAAGTCTCTGAGAGGGTCTGTGGACCTTGAAAAGGTTAAGCTTTGAATGTTTTTGGTTTATTTTATAAACTTCCTTGCAAAGTAAGCTACTGCACATTTTATAAAAAAAATATCATTCAGTGAAGAAAGGAGCTAAATTTTAATGCTAATGACCATGCAGTTGATAGTCATAATCATTAGTTATGGTCACTAGAGAGGAGTATTGCAGGGAAATACTGGGTGAATGCTAGGATTGTCCTTTTATTTAGTATTTAAAAGGTAACAAAAATTTTTTTTATTTTTAATAGTGTTTTGAAGAATCATGTGGCTAATATTGCATCTTGACCATGAAATTCTGCTATCTTTCATATTAGGACTTTGTGCCAGCAGAGAAGCCACCATCTACCCCTCATCCAATTGAGTACTTTCCCTTCTTTGACAACTCTTACTTGGCTGTTGCTGCTTCACTAAATGGTGGAAATGCTTTGGCAGCATTTGTTCGAACATTGCAGCAGTGGAGTCTTGATCTTGGCTTTCAGGTTCCACAATGTAAGTTTCAACATCATTTATACCCATCCATAGTAGTGATTGTAAGCGTCAAGAAAAAATTGGACAGCTGATTATGTAATTAGCAATGTTGATCATAGACATTTGGAATAATTTAAAAAGATTTCCCATTCTATTTTTCATAAATATCATAAATCAATTTATTGTAAAATAGCTTCTATACCAGTTCAACTACTGTATATATTATGGTTTCCTAGGTAGCTATGATGACAAACATTAGAGAATATCTACATTACCAGTCAAAAGACGAGTAAAAGGTGGCTCCAAGATCTAAAAGTTACCTCAAAAAGCAAAAATACTCTAGGTAATTAAATTTACATTTGTGAATAACATGAAAATTTTGTAGTCTTTTATTTAACATGAAAATGCATTTTGTCTATGAAATTGAATTTTTGCTTTTTACAAATTTAAATTATGTATTTTATGCATTTAGAAAGTATGTATAATGATGAATCAACTGGAGTGCAGTATAAGCTATTTTTCTATGTTACTATGGTACTAGTAGTTAAGTGTATTGTGTTATCACTACTTGCCTTGGTTGGGTAGCCGCATCTAAAATATTTCCATATCCTCTTACTAACTCCTGTATTGTTTTCATTTTAGCAAAAATCTGGCAGAGGGTTCTTGAGCTTGGGGGAGACCAACAGAGCAAGTCTTCTTTGGCTATTAAACCTTTAATATTTGGAGAGCGTCACACCCCACAAGAAAATGCTTTGTCTAATTTGACCTGGGTAAGTGTGTGGGAAAAAATTTCCCGTTCACTGTGTAAGGGTCATAACCAAACATAACGGGGTTTATGCAGCTTACACAGAGTTCTTAAATGTTAGAGTAGAACTTTGGAGGCAGTTGTAGGTAAATCCTTATTCCCCCGGGAAAATTTAAAAAAATTTAATTATTGGCGTTTCTACCAAAAAAGGTGTTTGCCCCCCCAAAAAGGCACAAATTAAACCCTTACTTTTTCTTTGTTTGGTGTGGAAATGAAATAAGGGAGAATGATAGTATTAGGAAGGACATTATTGCTCAGTAAAAAATAATTGTGACGGATCAGTGGACCCCGGTTTAAAGATATTTTTTCACTCCAGAAGTATGTTTAGGTGCCGTATGACGTTTTTTCCCATAAGAAATATTGTGAAGAATTAGTCATTTTAGACCCCCAAACTACACGTACAAACGCACTTACAAAATACCTTACATAATTGGGCGATTCGGGGTAAACGTTAGCGGGGGTCCACTGTATAGATGTCACCATGATGTATAAATTTTTTAAAACTGAGTTTAAAAAGTGAATTTAGGGTATTGGAGAGAGGTGTGGAATTAAAAAATAAAGAATTTGTTCAGTGTGAGAGTTGCCAGTTTCTCTTGGCTGATGACCCTTTATAATATAATAAAATAAAATAAAAATGAGGGAAAAGGTGAGTGGTGCTTGGGTTTTGTGGGGGTCAAAAACTTATTATGGAGGCAAAGAAGGGGAAAGTATGAAAGTTTAGTATACCAAAAACCCCATAGGGGTTTTGAATTGGGTGGGAAATGCGCAGCGGGAGACAGTTGGAGGCAGTGGGGAGTTGTTTAAGGGCAATGGTTTGGGTAAAATTTTGAAAAATTTGGAGTGGGAAAAATTTGGAAAAAATTTTTGGGGTTAATAAAAAATTAGCAGGGGCGAAGAGGGGGTTTTTGAGGGGTTTTGGGCATTTTAGAGAGAAAAGGGTCAAAATAAAAAATGACATGGAAAGCATAAAACTATAGGGAAAGGAAGGCGGGGTAGGGGTCGTCCTCGAAAGGGTTGGAGAGAGGGGGTAAAGGAGGTTTTGTGGGCAAGGGGTTTGGGACTTCCAGCAAGCGTCCCGTGAGCATGTTAGATAGGAGTGAATGGAGACGAATGGTACTTGGGACCTGACGATCTGTTGGAGGGAGCAGGGTAATTTTTTAGTGAAGGGATTCAGGAATTCAGGGGGATAAGTCTGTTGAGTGTACCTGGTAAAGTGTATGGTAGAGTTATAATTGAAAGAATTAAGAGTAAGACGGAGAATAGGATAGCGATGAACAAGGAGGCTTTAGGAAAGGTAGGGGTGTGTGGACCAGGTGTTTACAGTGAAACATATAAGTGAACAGTATTTAGATAAGGCTAAAGAGGTCTTTGGGGCATTTATGGATTTGGAAAGGCGTATGACAGGGGATAGGGGGGCAAAGTGGCAGATGTTGCAAGTGTATGGTGTAGGAGGTAGGTTACTAAAAGCAGGAAGATTTTTTAAACAAGGTTTAGTGAGGCTCAAATTAGAGTATGTAGAAAAGAGGGAAATTTTTCCCAGTAAAAGTAGGCCTTAGACAAGGATGTGTGATGTCACCGTGGTTGTTATATATTTATAGATGGGGTTGTAAGAGAAGTAAATGCGAGGGTCTTGGCAAGAGGCGTGGAGTTAAAAGATAAAGAATCACCCCACAGGGTGGGAGTTGTCACAGCTGCTCTTTGCTGATGACACTGTTCTTTGGGAGATTCTGGAAAAAGAAGCTGCAGAGATTGGTGGATGAATTTGGTAGGTGTGCAAAAAGAAAAAAATTAAAGGTGAATACAGGAAAGAGTAAGGTTATGAGGATAACAAAAAGATTAGGTGATGAAAGATTTAATATCAGATTGGAGGGAGAGAGTATGGAGGAGGTGAACGTATTCAGATATTTGGGAGTGGACGTGTCAGCGGATGGGTCTATGAAAGATGAGGTGAATCATAGAATGATGAGGGAAAAAGAGTGAGTGGTGCACTTAGGAGTCTGTGGAGCAGAGAACTTTGTCCTTGGGGGCAAAAAGGGGAATGTATGAGAGTATAGTTTTACCAACGCTCTTTTATGGTGTGAAGCATGGGTGATGAATTTTTGCAGCGGGAGAAGGCTGGAGGCAGTGGAGATGTCATGTCTGAGGGCAATGTGTGGTGTGAATATAATGCAGAGAAATCGTAGTTTGGAAGTTAGGAGGAGGTGGGATTACCAAAACTGTTGTCCGAGGGCAAAAGGAAAGGGGTTGTTGAGGTGGTTCGGACATGTAGAGAGAATGGAGCGAAACAGAATAACTTAAAAGAGGTATCAGTCTGTAGTGGAAGGAAGGGGGGGTAGGGGTCGGCCTAGGAAGGTTGGAGGGAGGGGGTAAAGGAGTTTTGTGTGCGAGGGTTTGGGACTTCCAGCAGGCTGGTGAGCGTGTTTGATAGGAGTGAATGGAGACAATGGTTTTTAATATGACGTGCTGTTGGAAGGTGAGGTACAATTATGAGGGATTAGGAAACGGGTAGGCCGGACTGAAGGCTGGAGAGGGAGTACAGTGCGCACTCTGAAGGAGGGGTGTTAATGATTGCAGTTTAAAAACGTGAGTGAAGCACCCTTTGCAAGGAGTGATGAGAGAAGATGGTGAAAGTTTTCTTTTTCGGGCCACCTGCTTGGTGGGAACGGCCAGGGTAATAATAAAAAAAAAAAAAATTCAGGGAAACTGGTTATTTTCATATAGTCGGACTTGAGTCCTGGAAATGGGAAGTACAATGCCTGCACTTTAAAGGAGGGGTTTGGGATATTGGCAGTTTGGAGGGATATGTTGTGTATCTTTATATGTGTATGCTTCTAGACTGTTGTATTCTGAGCACCTCTGCAAAAACAGTGATAATGTGCGAGTGTGGTGAAAGTGTTGAATGATGATGAAAGTATTTTCTTTTTGGGGATTTTCTTTCTTTTTTGGGTCACCCTGCCTCGGTGGGAGACGGCCGACTTGTTGAAAAAAAAAAAATAATAATAATAGTAGGTTGGTAGACAGCAGCCATTCGGGGAGGTACTACCGTCCTACCAAGTGAGTGTAAAAAGGAAGCCTGTATTTGTTTGACATGATGGTAGGATTGCTGGTGTCTTTTTTTCTGTCTCATAAACATGCAAGATTTCAGGTATGTCTTGCTATTTCTACTTACACTTAGGTCACATTACACATACATGTACACTTTTATGTACATACACACTCATCTGAGTTTTCTTTGATTTTATCTTAATAGTTCTTTTTCTTAGTGCTTTTCATTTCATATCCACGGGGAAGTGGAATAAAAATCTTTCCTTCATAAGCCATGTGTGTTGTAAAAGCCAACTAAAATGCCGGGAACAATGGGCTAGTAACCCCTTTTCCCGTATTGCTTACTAAAAAGAAAAAGAAGAAAAACCGTCAAACTGGGATGTTTGAATGTACGTGGTTGTTGTGCAAATGATAAGAAAGAGATGGTTGTGGATGTTATGAATGAGAAAAAGCTGGATGTCCTGGCTTTAAGTGAAACAAAGATGAAGGGGATAGGAGAATTTCAGTGGGGATTATGTCAGGGGTTTCAAATAGAGTTAGAGCTAAAGAAGGAGTAGCAATAATGTTGAAGGATAAGTTATGGCAGGAAAAGAGGGAATGTAAAGGTATAAATTCAAAGATTATGTGGTGTAAAATAAGGGTTGGATGTGAAAAGTGGGTTATGGTAAGTGTTTAGGCACTTGGAGAAGAGAAGTGTAGAGGAGAGAGAGAGAGATTTTGGAAAATGTTGAGTGAGTGCATGGGGAGTTTTGAACCAAGTGAGAGAGTACTTTTGGTTGGGGATCTCAATGCTAAAGTGGGTAAAAATGTTGTGGAGGGAGTAGTAGGTAAATTTGAGGTGCCAGGGGTAATGAAAATAGGGAGCCTGTAATTGAGCTATGTGTAGAAAGAGGTTTGGTAATAAGTAATACATATTTTATGAAAAAGAGGATAAATAAGTATACAAGGAATGATATAGCATGTAATGAAAGTAGTTTGTTAGATTATGTATTGGTGGATAAAAGGTTGATGGGTAGGCTTCAGGATGTACATGTTTATAGAGAGGCAACAGGTATATCAGATCATTATTTAGTTGTAGATACAGTTAGAGTAAGAGGTAGATGGGACAAAAGGACAATGGCTGGACAGTAAAGTTTTAATATATTAGGAAATACTGTACTATACACTGTACTTCTTAACCCTTTCAAGGTCCTTGCCATAGTACTGTGGCTTTGTGCTCAAGGTCCTTGCCATAAAATGTTTGGAGAACCTTTACGGCACACATAAGTGTGATAAAAATAACCTCATTTACTGGGAACTCTTAAAGTTCCTTAACCTCTACTCCCTAGAATGCAGGTGGGAAAGATACATGATTATATACACTTGGAAAATCCTAGAGGGATTAATACCAAACTTGCACATGAAAATCACTCCCTGTGTAAGTAAAAGACTTGGCACATGATGCAACATCCCCCCAATGAAAAGCAGGGGCTCCACTAGCACAATAAGAGACAATACAATAAGTGTCAGGGCCCAAGACTGTTCACCTGCCTACCAGTATACATAAGAGGAATTATCTTTTGTATGCTGTTTTCAAGAAGGCACTGGACAGACACCTAAAGTCAGTACCTGACCAGCCAGGCTGTGGTTCGTATGTCAGGTTGCGCGCGGCCAACACAGTAACAGTCTGGTTGATCAGGCCCTGATCCACCATGAGGCCTGGTCACAGACTGGGCCATGGAGGCATTGACCCCCCAAAACCCTCTCCAGGTATAGTAATATGACTTTGAGCTCAAGGTCCTTGCCATAGTACTATGGCTTTGAGCTCAGGGTGCTTTCCATAGTACTACTATGGCTTTGGGCTCAGGGTTCTTGCTGTAGAACTACGTGATGAGCTCAACTCATTCAGAAAAGCTGAGTGGTAAATTTTAGTGTAGATATGAAAGAATGGGTCTATGCAGTGGGTGTGCACCATATAAAAAAA